CCAGGGTTCGGTCTTGGAACACTAGCCATTCGATTTGGCTTCTCTGTAGGACAAAAATGTTCCGTTCCATAACAATGCGAAATTTTTCAGTTTACTAAAATGAACCCAGAACAAGGCTATAACTCAATAGTGAGTTATGCTCGTGGCCGAAAACCCTGATGTTTTCAATCATGGTCACGTGGATATCAGATAATAGAACAGCAACCAGCCGAATCACCAAGGTGACGTTTAAAACACTCCACACTACCTTACATGCAATATTCGGAGTTCTATTCAGATGAAGCCATCTTCACTTGTGATTCTACAGTGCTCATAATATCGAAGTGGTAGGAAAAACGGCGGCGACGGGACAATACCTTTGAAAAACGTTTCAGGGATCATGTGATCACAAATCGGTTTCTTGTTTATAGATTCAGAACTCCATTTTGCCCGGTCGTCGAGCTTGGTGATCTGTTTGCAAACGTTTCATCACACCAGCTGAGGTGACATCTTCAGTGCTTGTGAAATGGCAGTGTTCTGCTTGTACCCGTTCATTTATATATGCGCATATTCTTCTCTATCGATTATTTTTTGTTCCTTGTTCTCACAGTGTTCATCCCGGTTCAACCTTTGAATTGGTGCGAGATGGGGTTGTTCTTGATTGTGGTCTTGGTCCGTTTTACGGTCCGAAGTGACCTTTTGTGGCGTTATTTGATCCTTCAGTTGTATTGGTGGTTGTACATGTGACCTATTTCGATATGCCTGTTTATGGAGTTGGTTGAAGGGAACCAAGCCTGGACAAATTTTCTGGCGTGTTTTTATCGGACTTGGTCGATTATTTTCACCGATTCGAAGTCAGATTGACATCCTCCTTGATCTTCATGGAGGGAAATCAGCGATATTGGGTGATGTCTCCCAAATACTGATTGATGTCCACAGATTCTTGTTGTTAATTTTTTCCTACTGGATGCTTAGTATTCTTCAATCAAATCAATAAACAGATATATCGAAATGGATCACATACACACCAATGTATATATATATATATATATAATATATATATGTATATATATATATCACAGCAGTTCGACAGCGAACACAGTGAGAACGGACAAAAGATAGTTGATGGAGAATATGTATATAAACGAACGGATATAAGCAAAACACTGCCACTTCACAAGCACTGAGGAAGTTACCTCGGTTGGTGACAGAACGTTTGTTCGGCTGGTTCTGTTTTCGATTGTCTAAACAAAGTCCTTGGGTATACGGTATCATTTTGCTTCACATATCGTCTCTCAATTCACTTGCAGTTGCGGTGACACTTACATCGGTAGAACGAATAGGCCCCTGGCACAGCGGATGTCTGGACACATTCCCAAATGGTTGGTACAATCGATGACGCAACAAAGTCTCAGAGGTCAAACCGATAAGAGAAATCCAGGGTCATCCATC